CAGGGGCTCAGGCCAAAACATAGGAAAAATCCATGGCATTGAGAGTATTAAGTGTAAGCGGATGGGTTAAGTGGCTAAGGTTTGACGATTGATATCTTAGTAAGGAGATGAGATACAATCATGAAATTTTCAGCACCACTGGATCAAGGCATTATCTAACGAATGATAGCTTTAAAAGATTTCATCAAGTTGATAAGATCTTGGTTTCAGAGGTTTTGTCAGAATCGGTGTTTCAACTCAATAGATGGCGCTGCGATTAAGAAACTCTGTCCAATAATTTGGCAAAGGTTGCTCTATATTGTGGTTAAATTTCGTAAAGAACGGTTGCGTCCTCTCAGAGATATGAGCGTTCAAAGATGTACAATTTAAATGAAACGCCTTGTAGGTATTCTAATTCAAATGTGGTTATTACCACATTTGAATTAGATTAGATAGAATTAGACACTGACTTTCTTATTAGAAAGTCAAATGCAACAAGGAAAGTCAAATGTGTTGCTGAACTATCAAAACTGGACTATCAAATATGAAATATTATTGCAAGTATGTACAACTTTCTAGTTGAAACTGATGTGGGACAGTTAGTGTAGTCTTTGAAGTTTTGTTTAGTACTCAACATGTCCACCTTCTCATTCAACACACTTCGGGAGATTACTTTTTTTGTGAAGTTTCATCAAGAACAGAGTTTATGCTACGCGTCCAGAGTCCTTGGATGAGCTACGAGATCGCATCACTGATGCTGTTCAGGGTATATCCCATGTCAATAATGCAAAATTTATGGATAATACATATTGTTGAATGTCTCCAGAAGTGTGTTGAATGAGAAGGTGGACATGTTGAGTACTAAACAAAGCTTCTAAGACTACACTAACTGTCCCATATCAGTTTTAACTGGTAAGTTGTGCATACCTGTAATAATCAGGAAAATAAAATGGATACCTCTGAGCAGGACCCCCAATATTTAACTTTCTAATTATCACATTTGAATTAGAAAACCTAGAGTTGTTGCACCTCAGATTCTAATTTACATGAACAGATTCATGGATAGTGTCCTCAAAGGCTTATATGCAAAAACCTATCACTTGATAGCCTATTAAATGGTAGCTATCATGATAGGTATTTGTGAATCTTCCTGATGACAACCTCCTATTCATCATCTTGCACCCAGGAACAATGTAATGAGTATTGTGGTGGCTTGATACAACAAACTCTACAGGATTTAATCTATCCCAAGTTACGGCAGTTCACATATATCATTGGTTAGCAAAATGCACTGCAATCCACCCTGGTAGCTTGTTATAAACAGAATAAACAAGCTCTGGACCATAATAGATTGTAGCGATTTTTATACCTATTATGATAGACAAAATGTTTCTGCATATGGCCAATACATCAAATGTACCATATGATCAAACTTGAAACTTTTGGTGCATGCTGTTCACTCTAGTGGACATCATCTATTCAGTGTTGCCACCTAGCAGTGGAATGTATACATATTATGGCATATTACCACATAAAATATTAAACCAGTGCTTCCCAAATTTTCTACCTCTGCATACCACTTGTCTCTAGGGTGCATATATAGTGCACCACCACTTGACCCACATATGCACATCCCACAAAGTATATGACTAGTACTTTATTATACAAGTTTTTAAAAATTAGCATGCTTAGAAACCTCTTGCATACCACTGGGCATTGCCTCATGTACCGTCAGTGGTATGTGTACCACAGTTTGGGAACCACCACATTAAACCAATAAAAACATATTTTTGTTTTGCTTTTATAAATTCATGCATGAGAGGTTAAACTATTGTCTCTTGCATCTTATGCTCTGAACAAGGAGTTCCACTCAGCAAAAAATATCCATATCAACCAGAACAACCAAAGGCAAAATGAAAATGTTTACCTTCCTCCCACCACTGTAGAGGAATGTTCCATCCCTAGAGAATTGAAGATGAGTGACTCCTCCCAGCTGACCTTCAAGGATGGACAACATGGTCTTTGTATCCTCTGAATACAACCCTGATTAGAAAAGAAAACAAAGGAAGACAATAAAATGCACCTCAGACAACTTTTTCAAGTTGCCCAACATACATGGCCATATGAACAAACCAATTGTTCGGTTGTATGAACCAGCCGCATAAAAGCCCTTTAATGCTGGGCACTCTGCAATGCATGAGATGATTCCCCTCTGACGAAATGGCATCATACGTGAAAGCGCTGAAACATAAAGCAAAATCATCAGAATCATAAAAAAATTAGTTGGTCTTCTTGGCTTGTAATCTTTTTACTTATAATCCTGATTACCTGTAACTCAATTTATGCATCATTCATTCTTGAATGTATGTCAATAGACCATTCTTGCATTTATTAAAGCAAGGTAGTACTTGATACTTTGCCAGTTTGTTTACATTTTATATTTCTAATTCCACACTGAATTTACATGCTGCTATGAATGACACTGATATACATATCAGTGTCATTCATAGCATTGGTAATTTAAAAAATACACAGACACTAATTCGTAGTTTTCTTTCTATAGTCCTCAATCTAAGAAAGTGAGAGACTTCAACAAACTAAATCTGAGAGAGAGATATGAAGTGAAAAGGGTCTCACGTTTGAGGGAGCGGATGGCAGCCTTTCCAGGACGATCCAGATGGAAGGTGTGAATGAGTCCATCAGGAAAGCCACATCGGAGACGATGGCCACATGGCGTGAAGCAGAGTGAATGGGCCCGAGGGATCAGTTCCAAGTGATCCAATGGAAGAAAAGTTCCAATCAGCATCCCAGTTGCACCACCCCACAGATGCACAGGTTGGTCTCGACACGAGCTGGCAAAACTAAAAGGAAGTTGTCATCATGCAATTAAATGAGAAATGGGAAGACCAATGGCAGGCAAATTCTTCCTTAATCTCATTCAATGATGTGCTACATCACTTATTGTTATACATCATGACCAGCACTTTCGTCGTGGACAAAAGGTCGTATGCACTTTTGGTCATTGCACTATTTTGTCATGGACAAAATTTCACATGCACTTTTGGTCGCTATATTATTTTGTCGCGGGCAAGGGTAGTCTCACTGGTGAAAGGGGTGAAAGCAAGGTGAACAAGAGGGTCGAAGGGAACAGGGCCTTGGGGTTCCTGATGGATGGCTTGGAAAGGGAAGGGGAGGCAAAGGATCAGTCATTCTTGATGCTATTTTGAGTCGTTTTGTGTTCATATGCGTGGGCATTTAGAGTCGTGTGAATGGCACTGGAATACCTCAAGACATTCAAAGGTAAAGAAAAGCTTCACTATGAAGGGTATCTTAATACTGTAGAGCAGTGGTTCTCAACCTTCCTTTTACTCCCATTGAAGCTTCATGCATTCGGGGGGGTGACACCTCCCAGGTTGAGAACCACTGCTGTAGAGAAGCGAAGTTCCAATAAGATTGCATGGTGATGTGACCTGCGAAGCTGTAAGAGTAGGCTGCACACAAGAAATGACATAGTGACCAAGTCACCCACTGACCACAATCATGCACTCCGTTCTGATTGTGTCAAAGTGGCAAAAGCAGGTTTGCATGAATTTTTGCATTTAACATGATGAAATGCATGTTTTTAGACGCATTTTCATCCAGGAAGTCTGCCAGTGCCTTGCTTGAGTTGGGATGTTACCATATGAATTCATCCCTGCCCTTGTAATGCCCTCGTGACAAGGAGAATGCGACGAAATACCGCATTGACCAAAAGTGCATGCGACGTTTTGTCTGCGACCAAATTGGCTAAGATGAAAGCACTGGTAACCATTACACACTCATAGCTGCTTTACAGCTATCTGATGTAGCTTTAGGCCACATTTTGACTCTTTCTATGCACCAGCACTCAAACATTTGGATGCTGTCTTATCATTAAATGACAATAACAGAAATGCTAATCAAGCATATGAGGTGGATAAAAATAATCTAACATGTAGCCCATATATAAGATGACCAAAATATACCTGCACCCATCAGTTCACAGTGGATGTTGCAAGCTTTATGCTGCAATCTTCCCTCTTCAGGTCACCCAGCACGACATATCCTTTTATCATTATAGTCACAGCCAGACATGCATGCAAGTGTTGCACTATGAACCAAGGACAATGTAGGTAAATAGCAGTCTCACTGCACCATTAAGTTGACTGTATGGAGATGTTATTAGAACACATATATTATACCTACACTAGCAGTAAGGCCCATGAATATCATGGGCAATCTAGACAGCTAGCACCTATAGACCAAGAATCCATCTCAAGACATGAAATAGAATTTTCAGAAGGGTATACATGCACAAAGCATCTGGATTCTACACTTATTCTTCATTAGAGTATTTTTTTTTATTACAAAGTTTCAGTTTTCATTTCGGCATTTCGAGACATTTTGGACATGATTGGAAATTTAAATTAGCTTTTTCATTAATTAATTTTTTGATGATTTGGCATTTTCAGCAAACCACCACTTGTAGAGTCAATCAACATCTGGCTGACCTCTCTGTCATGCACAGTTCCTTGGGAATAAGCATGACACGTGCCTTTTAACCCCTTGATGTTGGGTGACGCGTATACGCGTCCTGCGAGATTAGGTACCTAAAGACCTAAAGTTTGAAGAGACACATACTATGAGTGTATTTCATGTAACGTTGGCCTATGTATTGACCCTTGCTTCGCCCAATTTCACACTTTTGAAGCTTTCTGACCAAAAGATTGATGCTAAGATATCAGAATAAAAACTTTATCTGAAAATTGATTTTTGACCCAAAACAATCCTGAAGTGAAAGGGTTAAGCCCCAGATATGAAGTGCTTCAAGGAATTCCATAATATATATGAATGAATGTTAAGCAGTCATTACTCTTGCCTTAGGACAATATATTGCTACTATTGTTGGCCTAATAACCCTTGCAAGGCCTAACAATTCTGTTGAATAATATCCTTGATCGTTGGCTTCCATAGACTTGTTTTATTCCACAAAAATGCATGTTGACAGCCATGCTTCTCCAAAGAGGAACACCTAGTGGCATGTACACATGCCACTCCATTCCTCCAATACCAAGAGGTATAAATATAAAAGGCTCCATTGATCTATTCATTGGAGAAGGAGTTTAGATAATGAGTCAAAGGATTTCAAAATTGGCATGCACCTTTGCTGTCAGGTCTTAAGAGGTTATAGTCCTCTTCAGAAGTCCTGTATAGTGTGTCATACATGTCAGGGGGCCTCACTGGAATAGCAAAGAAGTTTAAGTACCTCTAGGCAAGGCTCTTGAATGATGGATGATGTGGAAATGAGATTGATAATCACATCTTTCAGGCTTCCACAATTTTGCTAGAACCCTGGCAGACTGTGATGGTCAAATTGACATTTCCAAGAAGTAAAACAATCAGTTTTAAGAGCTCTTCAGGCTTGCCTATGGCCTTGAATTGAGGGTAATGACTGAAAGAATCAGGTAACAAATATAAGCTGCCAAACAGTTATTTTTGCAAGTGAAGAGTACCAGGTTGAGCAGCAATCTCTTTGGATTGAGAGATCTAGAACTTGTTGATTTGAAAACACCTCCTGCATATCCCAAGAGACTCCCAAAAAAAAGATATCCCAACCCAAAATGACAAGCATAAGACTAGTCTGTATGCCTCATGCAAGGGATGCACTAGATCCTGAAGCTTTGTCATGAGAGGCTCAACATTCCACCTGATGAACTTCAGTCTGTGGGCAAGGATCAGCACAATGGAGGAAGCTCCTGGGCCTCCTTGAGCATCAACTCCATTAACCCTTTCAGGAGTATGGAGGTTTATATGGGCCAGAATAGATGGCCCTCCTAGAGCAAGGGTATCCAAAGTGGATGTTCTCTAAGGCACTTTGTGTGTTGGATGCAGCCTGTGGGCTGCACTTAGGACACCCCTGTCCTAGAGTATGCATGTCTATTTATGTTTTCTATTTTTGAGCTCATGGAGTGCACAGGTATATGTCACACTGTCAAAATATGAAAATGTGAAACTATTTAATGTCAAGGCAAATGTTAATGTAATAAATGACCTTTTGATCCAAAAATCATTTGTCCAGACAGAATGAACAAAGCAAATATTCACAATTTCATTTTCTCCCCTCTTTGCTTACTTCCTAACTCACTCACACAGGGTAATGTCTCTCAACTCCACCTCCCTCCTCAAAGGGTTAAGTTGGGGTAGACAACAGTGAAAATGAATGAATGAACAGAAGGGGGGAAAAAGAGTCTAACCTTTCTTTGATTGCTTGATGCCTTGATCAGACAAATCAGTGGGCCTCTGAGGAGGTTTTGCTCTGGGACTATTGTTTACAGCATCTGTATGACTTCTTTTTTCACTTGATTGCTTCTCCTTTTGTTTCTCAGCTTCACCATCAAAGGAATCCTTTCCACTAAAAGTCCCAATGTGTGGCTTCAATTCTTCCCTGCTGCCAGGGTGTGAGGATGCCACCTCCTTCTTATTCATAGAACTAGAACCTGAATCACACACATCACTATTGAATTTAAAAAAATAAAGATTGAAATCAAACAACTAAGTGATTCCATGGATATGAAAAACAGTATTTTAAACAGTGCTGGATGGAAAGGCATACCATGGACAAGAAGTGCAGGTTCAAATGAGAGAATGCATGCTACTCTAAAGTGAGGCAATTTCTTTAGCTGCCAAATCAAGTATTCAATTATATAATGGGAAGGAATATTGAGGGCAGAGAGAAAGAACAAGAGTTGCAAGAGGTAGGGAATAAAGAAAAAAAAAGTTAATTTTTATCATATTTGCTCATGGTGAGAAGGCACTTCAGACCTCCTTCCCCACATCCATTTCACCTTTTTTGAATAAATATTTTTTAGGGAAAAAAATATTTTCAATAACTTTTAATGCCATGATTCTCTGTTTCACAGAACCATATAATGAAATTATTTCAAAATGATATGGTTAATTTCACCCTTATTATGATGAGATGTTCCCATTAGCCCCATCATCCCAAGGATGATATGGTAAAAATAATGCCATATACTATATCTGTTAAAAATGCCATTCAAGTTCCCACACCTCTATGTGGCTTTTTATGCAATCCCTACAGTAGGTGTAAGCATTCATACTGCTGATTGCTGAAGAGGAAAAGAAAAGGGTTTATTTTGACATTTTGGAGAGTTGAGGAAAAGAACACAATATTCAGGAGAGAGTTCCATATGGGTCATGCCCTATGAAGGGAAGTGCACTTCATGTATTCCTGTTTTAGATTATTCTGATCTAAGAAGAAAGAATATTTTAAAGCTGATGTATGTCCTGCAGGAGGATTTAAGGGCAGGAAGCATAGAAGTAAGTTCCTTGCTGGGAGTAGAAAAGGCAATAGAAATAAAGGACAGCAGCTAACTCATAATGAAATTGGAGAGAACAGATTCCAAAACTGTCCACGTTAGCAAAGCCTAATATCTTGAGAAAGTGCACCTGTATACTATTCAAAAGGGAGAAGTGAATGGACAAAGCACTTCCCAAATTTAGAAAGGCATATTCCATGATAGGACAGACTGCAGTATAGCCAGGTAGCTGCACAAAGAGGGGGAGAGAGAGAAAATGAAAGACTTTGTTACAGATAAGGTTACCAAGAGCACAAGGCAGCAGACTGCAAAGTTGTGGATATGAGCATCCCATATGAGCTGACTCTTGAGAGTGACCCCAATAAGATTCAAGGAATTACAAGAATGGAGAAATGTATTTTTAAAAGTGACAAATGATGGTTGTTTCTTACAAGAATGAAATACACGATTGGTTTCCTTTGAATTGAAAGATATATTCTGTTGGGATGCCCATTCAGATATGGATGCCAGGTCCCTTTGAAGTGGGCAATCACTGTCCTTAGGGACAAGAGGAAGATAGAGTGCATGGAGGGCGATATTATAGGCCTATGCAAACTAGCCAACTCGGTTCTCCAGCGTAGAAGTGAAGTCATTCATAAATATCCTGTACAGCTATTATCATAAAATTGCCCAATTTCACATTTATGTAGTGCAAGAGGATTCATCAGCCTACCTTCGCCACCAATAACTGGTTTTGTCCCTGAAGGGTGCATTGGACTTCCAGGATCGGGGAACTGGGAACAAAATATTAAAAAAATTATGAAGTCATCCAATATGTGATCTCTACATGCAAAACCAATCCATTTACTTTGCAGTACTTTTTTTAAGCTGTACATGGATATGAATTCCACATATGACAAGAAAATTAAAATCCAACAGTTTTTCCAAGCAAAGCCAAAACCAGTATAAGGAGAGTCAAATGAGACAGATGAGCTAGCTGCTAGGCTATACAGTTATGCTTGCTTTTTCTCTTCACACAATCGATATTCCCTCACAGTGACATTAGCAGTATCAGGTCACAATTCATGTTCCATTTGATTTCCTAATGCCTGGATATAACTTGGAAATTCCTATAATTTATCACCTTAGAATTATTAATCCCCTAAACATCCTGAAATGCACACATTTAAAGCAACAATATGACATTTTTAAAGTGAATATTGTAGTGAATGAGCGAATTTTATTGGGTAGCAAAATAGTTCTAGCCCAATTGATATTTCAAATCAATTAAGCCAAAAGCAAAGAAACCAGGAAGGGTTCTGACATGCAGATGGCCAGAAATGAGGCAATGTTTCAAGTATGACAGCAGAAAAGAGCCTTTGTAGTCTAGAAGTTAAGACACAAGCAGAAAGGTTGGCAGAGATCATAGAGCCTTCCCCAATTAGTCTTCAGTTTGCTGATAGCCTCCATATTTGGCCCCATTAAAATTCTACTTTAGGCCATGAACAAAAGTGGTTATGAGCAAAAGAGAAGTAGTGGTTCACACTTACTTTTCTAGAACACTTGCCTGGTTAGCATGAATGACTATATGGGTATTCTACACATTTTACCATCTACTAATCATGTACAAATTAGTGATTCTACCATCTGTAGCTTTTCCTATTGTTTCATGATACTCCTACAAAGAGCATGAAAATTCCAGCTCCATTAGTGATTTTCCCAACTCCTCAGCTTTCCTCCTCCACAAGTATAATGTGTGGTAAAGAAATGCAAAAAAGTGTCTGGAGTAAATGAGAGAGAGTATTCAGAGTTAAATCTTGTTGCTTCAAGGTAATCAATCAGAATCAGAAGCATCTGGATGCTTCTGTTCACTCAATTCTAAAAATGATTGGCATTCAACAGGACCAAAGAAGAGCATGCTCATAAAAATTAAATTACCTACTGTATTTGCAAGAAAAATGTCATCACTTAAATCAGTTTCAGTTTAGTGATAGACATGATAAAAAACAGAACATTCAATCCCAGGCTCCTTTGCAAAGGAGAACTTTTACAGTTCACCAAGCTAATAGGCTTTTTAAAAGCATCTGTCACTGTGAAACTGCCATAGAAGCCAAGTAGGAATTTAACCCTTTTGGAATTCGAGAAGATGACAAAACTCATTCTGGAATAGCATAAATATCATCTTGAGATCAGGTTCAGCTGAGGTCACAGTATTCCTTTAAGGACAAAACATTGTCCTTTAGACCATATTCATACATATTTTCATATTCATAAGTATTTCATGCACACATCTACACATCTCACCAGCAATTACAAATACCTGCATGGGATTTCCATCTAGGGCTAATTCTACTCAACAGCAGGCATCACAATAATGAATAACTGGAACACTATGTCTCAGTTACTGATAACTGCATGAAAGCATTCATTCTATAAGCATATGAAAATGCAGAAGTTATCACCTGGTCAGAATCAGTGATGATTTGAACAAAATTGTCAGGAAAGACTCCAATGCGGCCTTGGAGTTCTCCCTTCCACCAGCCTGGATCTTCCACATCTTTTGACACAATGGTCACAATGTCCCCCTCTCGAAGTGTGAGTTCATCCTGATTCTCGGCATCATATGCAAACACGACTCGACACTTCTCTTTGACTATGTACAAACAAAATACAGCTTGAATCCACTAAGACAAATGTGTACACAGTGTATCCTTTTCAGAAAAATGCACCAACTTGAACAGACAAGCAGAGAACAAGATAGAAGAAAGAAAAAGATCATCCTGTTACATTGATAGAGACTAAGAAAGAGGTAAAACTGAAGTATAGAGACTATATATATTGCTTGTACAGTTGACTCTACTAATAGGAATACTTTTTATGGATCTTGTGGTCCCAATTTGTTTAACCACAAGCTGATTAAGCACACCTATCTGCAAAAACACAGTTCTTTCTCCTTCATGGCACTGTTGGAATTCATGAACCTCCTTATTTGGCAGATATAGCTCTATGTGATTCCTGGTTACTTCCTTGGATCAAGATAGTCATGGCTGGACACTATTTTGAAGCAGGCAGATGCTTGTAGAAAGGATCCAGGTAATCAAGTTTGACCCATCCCCAGTTGGAGTATTAGGCCTCCATGTACAAATTGATGAAGCTGGGACACGAAGTGGGGAGGGGCAGGACATCAAGAAGTTTTAGGGATTCTAATTGGAATAGAATTATTTGTTTTACAGAGCCACAACTTTCTGTACGAGAGTAGATGATGCCTTGGCAGGCTATAGATAAGACAAAATGCGAGAGCAAGTGATTAGAAATTCAAGTTCAAACTAACCAGGCTTTGGTGGAAGAACAGGTACAGGACTAGATGCTTCATTGGAATATGTGCTGCCATGAGGCTTCTTGACATCTAAAGAATAAAACAATGGAGTGAACAGCACTGAGGATGGAGAGCCAGAGAAGTGACTTGCATAGGAATGATAAAGATCACCTCTATGATCATCAGCTGAGGGAGAGGTAGAGGAAGGTGCATGCCTTCCACTCTGATTCTTCTCTCGAACTTCCGACACAAAATTTGATGGAAACACCCCAACCTTGTGAAAAGCCATAAATCACATGCAATTATTATTTATTTCACACTATGGAATGATATGAAAAATAATTTATAGCTTTTACAAAAGAGTCCAATGGCTCCCTATGGGCTCATCTCAAATAGTCAATACAGATTCTGTAAAAACTGCTTTTCAGGGAACAACAATGACACAAACAGTAGTTATAGCAGCACTTCTTTAATCCTTCCTTAAGCAAACCTTTTATTTTTAATCCCTGGTAGCATAAGGCAGTGGTTCTCAACTGGTGGGCTACGGCCACAGAGGTGCTTAGGGTGGACCACGACAAGTATCCATAAATCTAAGAATAAGAATTAACAGCTGGATGAACAATAATTATATAGCAAGTAATACAAGTACAGAAAACCATTTAAAAAATTTAAATCTATGAATTACAGGCAACCTCCAGCAAGGAATTCCACATCAACTAGAGCCTATTTGCAAGTTCTAAGTGTCTGTACCACAATGCACATCTTGATGCAAAAGCATATAGTCTCAGAAAGGAGATGTGGGGCTGGATATGAAGCAGAACTCATACAATATCAAGGCAGAAGCTGGAAGAAATGATAAGGTGGCAGGATCATGTCAGGATGGCTGTGGGAGGAACTAAGATTTAATCATCCTTATGGAATAGGAAACAATGACTCTTCCAAGATATTGCTGAAGCCACTTCTCAACATGATTTCACTCCAACACACTATTCCAGCTAGTCTGGGGCCAAACAGAAGATTTTAATTGCTATCTAACCTTGGGGGTCAGAATGAAGATATGAACATGTCCAGCATGTCTAATATGTTATTGGTGAAAGAGTGACCAAGAAACACTGTAAGCATCATGAAAAGTGACTTGAAGCTGGTAGCAACACTAGGAATGAAACTCCAAAGGACTGATTGCAGCCATTGGGTGGTAGTATGCCAAGACTAGTGAATTCCCTATTAGAGGCTTAAGAGAGGCGCCTCCTGCTTTTCAACTGCAGTGCCCTTTATGATGTCATCATGATGATAAGATTTAAGTGATTTATGCAATTGAGTTATCTGCATCATTTTCCAATCACTCTAGAGAGGCTTAACCACACTAGATACATCAAGGAACAAGTAATTAGCTAGAATGTGAAATTATGCATGCAGAAACTTTTTTTTTGGTCAGTGGTGTATATTTAGGGCATGACTTAAGTTAAACCTTTTGGCATCTGAGTATTTTGAGTATGTCAGCACTGTCAATCCAAGCTTTTGCATCCTTTGACAATAGGCCACTATGAAATAAGAAAATGGGCATGGAAACCAAAGGGTTTAAAAGGGTTTAACTATCTCATGAAGTGCTCAGGAAGTGAAGAAGGAATATACCTGAGAATTAAGTTGTCCTTTCCACCATCCCTCTTCCACCTCTTCAATGACATTTATCATGTCACCTACAGTCAACTTGAGCTCATCTGTACTGCATGGGTCATATGGGAAGAGAACCTTGCATTTCTTTGGGATCCCTGTAACCCAACATTTCAGATTCATCATATTTGGAAGTGAGAACAGATAGGCACCAAGCATTAAATATAAGCTGACCTTTGTATGAGGGGGGAACAGCCATATCATGACTTGTAATCTACAACAAGAAAAATATATAATTGAAACTAGGGTAACAGTAGGCATTATCCAGCCGAAGGTATCCAGATGCCATGCAGAGTGGCGGGTTGTTGAATTAGCAGTGTTGAAATCAGTGGCACCACCGTTGGCAAGAATAGCAGTAGACTGAAGCATACTTCTTTACTATTTCCTGATGACATTCCAGAGGGAGCCTCCTCCATTGCTATCATAAGCTCTAGTGGCATAAGTGGCTCGAACACACTCTGAGTAGCATGTCTGGATACTTCTGGCAGGGCAGAGTATACAATGCCTATGAAATAATCTGGTTATCATCAACAATGCATGATGACTTCACTTGTCTCAAATTACAGAGCACAAGGTAAGCTATCTAGTTGAAATCTTCTCTCTATCCATTACTATCATGTTGATATCTCTAAGGTCAACATCTAACTATAAGCAAAATGATATCATGGCTCTCAAGGATGGCAGCTTCTATCTGGGGGAATAAGGGAAGGTCTGAAGAGTCAGAACAGAGACAATATGTATAGCTAATCATCAGATACATATACAAATATACATCAATACAACAACAAAAAACTGTTGGCAGGGTCAATGACAAGTTTACTTGTATCTTGCAGACTACCTTAAATTTTCTCTCTTTCTATTACGAAAGGGAAAAGGTCTTGGTCTACCCGTTATTTATGCCAAAAATTGTTATTGGCAAAGGCAATTCTAACAAGGTAGGCACAGTACTAAGTTAGCAATTCCAGAATATTCCAGATATAAAAGACACAAATAAGACAATAATAATCAGATTGGATCAACCCAATCGTTTCAAGTTTGAGCTGCCTTGCTCAATAAAATGCAATTGGTAATGTCAAATTCCCGCTATTCAAACTAAGCACAGATAGGCATATTTGTGAGATTGCCTGAACTGTTTCATTATCCCATGGTTGAAGTCTCAGAAATTTGCCAAATATACCTATTTAAAAAAATCTGAGTGGTGGGGTATCCCCAGCTGGAAAGGAGAAAATTGCCATTAAATTGGAGCCCCATTTGTGGCCAAGCAAAACATGTCCCTCCTTCTCTGACTGAATTCATGTCCAAGCAGGAAGGGGAATGAGACAAGGGTCATAGGGAATGTGTGAGATGGGAGCCAAGAAGGGCCTGACTGCCTTGGGGGTAGTGATATGTCTGAGTGAATACCTTCTTATTCCCTTGCCTCTACTGCAAAGATTTTTCTTGGAAAGATATATTAGAGCTTCTACATGAATTTAAAGGTTCCACATCAGATATAACCCTAGGCATACCTTGACAAAGTTTTCAGGGAAAACACCTTGCTTTCCCTTCAAAGATCCTTTCATCCAACCGCTTTCCATTTGTATTGCATCTTGGATAACATCTCCTTGACGAATGGACAGCTCATCTGGCTCTGAGGCATCATAATCATATAGGACTAAGACTTCGCCAATCATATCTAGATCTTACTCAGAATCAAAGAAAAACAGGAAATAGGTCAGCCAGGTACAAGATCCTTCATTCATTTTTGGGGCACCTGTACTCTCATGAACATTGGGTAAGTTCAAATATGGTGTTCAGTGTAGTGTGATACTCAAACCTAAACTCTTTCACAGTGACAACCATATATTAGCATCATCTGATTTTATGTGTACTACAGCTTGCATCAACTGCTTATAGGCATCCTTATATAAGTGTTCTCATTATAAGGATCGAATATCCATTTTTTCCACTGTGTATTGAAATATAGGGCTAGTAAAAAAAAGTGCCCAACCGTTTTCCATGGAAGAAAGTAAGACTTGTACATTCAAGCAAAAATGATAAAGATAAACTCTTGATATTGGACATATACAAGGTGTTGAGATGATTGTCTGCTTTTGCTTCAGAAGAATTCTCTGAGCCATGCCCATACAGAAAGATCATATATGGTAGTTATATGGTAGTTATATGCAAGTATCTGTGCCTTATAAATTCATATATTTTTCATGTATTGAAATATAAACATACATATATAAGGGCACATGTGATTAAAGCATATGATCCATCAAGGGATTATTCACATATTAAACATACCTGGGCAGCATATATATTCTTTATAAAATAATAGTGAGGTTTGAGGGATGGGCTTCTGCATATATTATGTATCTGGTTTAAGTATATGATTTTTATAAAGGACTTTTATTTATTGTATATACATGTTCAGCGTGCATGCTTTAATAACAAAATATATCGCTAGAGATATATAACCCTTATGCATAAGGTACAGCATACAATTTATATGGTATGGTCATACCAACATAGCATGGTGACACCCCAGGGATGTCCCAAGACCTTTATGGGATATTTTAAGAACATCTTTAGTTGAATGGTTTCTGACATCTAGAAAGAGATTCTTCAGGACTTCTTAGAGATGTGTTTCAGACATCTTCAGTTGAAGAACACCATATGGAACAACCCTTAAAAATAAAGGGCTGTCCTGTATGGCTGAAAATGAGTCTGTTTCAGAAAGAAAGGCATCCAGATATTTTGATATCACTGAGAAGCCCCTAGTAGTCATCTCTGGGACTACTAAACTTGTCCTAAGGAGATATCTCTGGGATACCTTTGGAATGTACTTGTGATGTATTGGAAGTGAATGATTTTATATCATCACAAAAGTGACAGATGAAGTTCCAATTCTCAGCTTAGTTCCTGAAATTTTTTCTAACCTTTGGGAGAGATATGTGAGAGTAACATGATTTCATGCGTGTGTTTCATACCTGATTTGATCATGTCTCTTACCAGGTGTGACACATTTGTCCCACTATGTACTAGATAGACATACATACCATATATATCTCATATATCATATATGCATAAAATCATATATGATTTTTCCTTATAGGTGCACTTTCCCATTACAAAGTTTACAGGTGGATCATTACACCTTAATGGTAATGGTCCACGTTCCATCCTCTCAAAATACAACTAATGTAATTTGCCCAAATTTGGCCCTTAAACTGATATTAATTATATGTATATATTTTGAAAGGGTGCACTTAAACAAACCTAAAAATAGCATTTCTTTCAAATCTGAACAATTTCTGAGCAACAAACATGACCAAGCAAAGTCGGAGGATTACAAGTCACTATCCAATTTTCTTTGACCATATCTTTTAAAAGGGCCTTCAGATGGAAATGATATTTGGCAAAGAGGCTCATGGGCCCATAAGGTTTTTCTTTCCTCTCTAAAAAGTGGTATGGAACATGGATAGGGGCCTTGCAGTCAACTACAACATCCTCTATTGGCATGCAACACCATCTTGCAGAATGTGACAAAGGCCCTTAGAATCATAAACCTCTGTCAAGTATCAGCTGTATCCAACTGTCTCTTGAAAAGTTATGGCCAATCATAATAGAGTGGTGACTATAATAACCATGTACTAAAGGAGTAAGCATCTGCAGGTTGGGGGGTATGTTACACTCACATGACCAAGTCAAAACTCACTTTTCTCAGCTGCTGCTTGAAGTACAGTCCTATGTTTTTTGTCTGTTGGCTATTCTCAAAATGATCCAATCGTTTGCCAAATTTGATTGAATTCTGAGATGGTTGAGCACCTCACTTAAGGTGGAATGAACCACCTCTAATCAGTGTTAATGGGCATTGCATGACTTAGGCAGGGGTGCTGAAAAAAACAACTTACATTCATCTAAACACTTGTGACCGTCCAATGTTGATCATACAGCCAATATGTATAATTTTGCAGTTGTGTGTTTCTCTCATAGGAAACAGTATGGATTTTTTAAAAATCACCCTATATATCACTCTCTGACATAAATAAAAACATTTAAAAAAATTTTGTTTATTTTATCCTCAAAAAAAATTATTAAGGAGTAGAAAATTAATGCACAGTTAAGGGGTCAACACAATTAGAGAACTCAACATGTTATACTTGCATGGCATCAAGATTTCAATTTCATGTCAGTACAATGCCAGGATAAGCATAAAATGCCATCTAAATTCCAGTTCAGTGTTGGTGCGAAAAGAACTTCATATTTTTCATCCAACTTTGTCCCAAGGGGCTTGCACTAATGAAAGTTTAAAATCAATGTTTGTCCAAAGGTTAGAGCATTTCAGCCTGAAATGGACTAGAAATCATTATTTTTGGTTTCCTAGAAATCCAGCAATTATGTACTTCAAAAAATCCCTCTTGATGAACTGTCAAGTGGGCTGGAATGAAGCACTGCTTCTGTATGCATGGTGAGAATGGTATGGAGAAATCATGCAAAATTTGGCTCATTTTGGTCTGATAGACAAGGATGCTGTCATCAATCACTGTTCACCATGAGCCCATGGCAAAAATTCCCAAAGAACCCCAAATTTTGAATGATAGAGGTAATTCGTAATAGTAATCCGTTGCAAGTGCCACCTATGGCTGCATTGATTTAAAAAAAGCAGACACTGAAACACAAAACCTTGTAAATTTATCCATGCTGAATCAATCAAGATTGTACATCATCCAAGTCAGTCTAAATGGATTCCCATAGGGTACAAAAATTTAATGACAGGATAAGATAGACAACAGATCACTCTGGATTTGGTTGGATTTCAATGATGTCAAAAGTGAATGGAGACATTTCCATCCATAGTAGTTTTTGATTCCCCGCTGAGCCATTTACTTTAACCAGGACGAGAACTCTTTCTTTGTGCTTCCATTTTACTTCGGGTGTTTGGAAAGTAATGAGAATCGTTTGTAAATTTGTAGCTCTACATGCAATGCACTTCCCACTGCTCAGGCATTTAGATCAATATGTAATCTCTGTGATTGCCGATTTTCAAGTCAGTTGAGAAGTGCTTACAGAGCAGACCTCAAAAGACAGCTCTTTAAGCTCAGTGCGACGCGGGCTGTTTTCAACAATTTGGATATGGCTACAAGCGCTGAGAACTTTCGCTTCTACGCATTCACGTGGTTCAAACTTGGCATTACGGCCGCAGCCTGTTACACAGAACTGGTCCCCGTGTATGTCAAGTCTACTGTCCTTCCGGTGGTTCAGCAACTTCAGAGAAGCAGCTGAAAAGGAGGAGGAGCCTTCCTTTCTTGACCAGCCCCACAGTAGTCTCCCAAGGTCCACCCAGACACCAGAGCTTGTCGAGACGGTGAGAGAGCTAGTGGATGAAGACTGCTTAGTGACTACTCGAGAGCTAGATGAGGGGCTCGACATTGGCAGTGGCGTAGCATGGTTGGCATGGGCCCTGGTGCAAGGAATGAAACGGGGCCCGTTGTCCAATAGTAAGCTATTGGATTATGTGGGAGTCATTTTTTACTATAAATTTTCTCCGGCAGCATATAAATCGTCGTCGGTAGCTGAAGTCAGTAGAAGGCAGCGGCGGATATAGAAATTTTTCACAGCCCCCCCCCCCCCCCCCCCCCCCCCCCCCCCCCCTGCACCCCCCCCCCCCCCCTCCCCCAGGGTATATTTCATTTCATTACTCTTCGCAATTTTTTCAAAATATTCTTCAAATTTGATATGGGTTTCATAGACAGTCATCCATAAATTCAAAAAAGAATTGTTAAAGTTTGGATTTTCTTTTAAGAAGATTTTCTAAAAATGTTTGGCCTTGCCCGTTTGTCACAAAAATACCTTGCCCGGATAAGGGTAAACGTGTTAAATTTCCTTCGAGGGGCCCCTTGGAAAGTGGGGCCCGGGGAAACAGCCCCCCACTCCCCCTAATCCGGCCCTGGGTGAATGGTATTGGAAGTGGCCACCACTTCATTTAACCACACGAAGCGGCGACCCAGTTGCGAATGTCTGTGCAGTGTCGGGCTGAATTCCTTTGATTCCTTTCAACCTTCCTTTTCGGCTGTTGGCTCCCAATTCTTCATAGCTCTGCGTCTGGGCCCCTCTGGCTTGTGGGCCCCGGTGCAGTCGCACCGCCTGCACATTCGGGAGCTACGCCATTGGACGCTGGCAAGAGCACTGTCCACGAGGTGCTCACACAGACTTGCAACTGCGCAACGTGGCATCAGTTTGGGTACCGCACCAAGTGACCGAATAAAGCGGCTCGCATCAACGGCGCTAAGCACATCTGGCATTTTTTTTCCGCGAGGGCGAGGAGGCTTTCTGCAACAAGCTCAACAAGGCCTTTTGCAAAAATCTCGTTCCGTGTAACAGGCAGCGGCCGCAACGCCAAGTTTGAACCACGTGAATGCGTAGAAGCGAAAGTTCTCAGCGCTTGTAGCCATATCCAAATTGTTGAAAACAGCCCGCGTCGCACTGAGCTTAAAGAGCTGTCTTTTGAGGTCTGCTCTGTAAGCACTTCTCAATGGATTGACTTGAAAATCAGCAATCACAAAGATTACATATTGATCTAAATGCCTGAGCAGTGGGAAGCGCAATGCTTGCAGAATTACAAATTTACAAACGATTCTCATTACTTTCCGGACACCCGAAGCAATTGATTTGCCACTCGAATTGAGGTTTCGATTTCACAAGAAATGCGAATGG